TATAAAATCAGAAGTTGCCCGAGGATGATCCTCCTTCATCGGCATCACTATCCGCCTTTTACTTTCATAATGGCGGCCGAAAAACCTGTGTTGCTATAGACTGTAGCTCCTAAATGAATGTACAGATTTCAATGAAACTTCGCTAAAGTCATTTTCTCGACGCCCTTTAAATTTATCTATATAACATACTTCAACGAAAAGAAGCTGGAAAAAAAGTTACGAGGGATGGTAAAATTAAATTCCGAATAACTCGAAAAGTTTACTTTTTTGTTGTATATGGTTTTTTTTTTTTTTTTAAGTTTACGAAATTTTCTAAAAAAAAAAAAATCGTTAAAATCGGACAAAATCGGTGCAATGATATGGTCTCCGGTTTTTTAATATGTTCTACTCCAAATGTTATATCCTTGGTTTGGTTTTTAAATTTTGAATGTGTTACTGAAGTAATGCTATTTATTTTTTTGAGCATATTATTAATGATTAAAAAAAAATTTAGTCCAATAATTGGAATCACCTTTTGTTTATTTTTCTTTGTAACCCGGAAGATAATGTTACTTTAGATGTATAATTGTTTGGAAATAATAAACCATTGTGAAATAATTTGCAGCGTTTTTTTCTTCATGTTACCAGGGAGGTAATGTTACTTTAGATGTATAATTATTTGAAAATAATAAACCATTATAAAATAATTTGCAAAGTTTTTACTATTAGTGCCTTCTTGGTTAAGGTTCAATAGCACTTAATGAGCTTAAACATCAGTATATGAGTTGTTTAAGATGAACTCTATGTCTACTCAACAAATAGTTCTGAGCTTTCTCACCGATTCTATTCAAGTCTTTCTTTGAACCTGGGTTTTCATAACACAATATATGTAGAGTATTTTTTTTAACTGTGTTACCCCGCTGAAACGTAGCTTGTTGAGGTTTGGCAGTCTTGATGAGGTAACACTTTTTGCACTAGTCAAGATAGCATTCTCTTGTCACTTTTTTAAATTTACTCGCAATGATGAAGATATAAGAAGTCTCACCATTCATTTCCTTTGGACTGAATGAAAATACTACCCGCGGGCCTTGGCCATGGCAGTGAGTGGCCTGACCTTAACATCACCGACCTACTGTCCACTTTATATCTTATATCGATCCATTCATAATCTAGGGCTCTTTTCATTCTTCTTTCTTCTATACGTTTTTTTTTTTTTACGTTTAACTTCTCCAATATTTCATCAACATAACTCAAAGAACGTAAGAATCGTTAGATAAGTCGATGTAGGACAGGAATGTAGGCTATGATGTCATTCTTAAGATCGCGGAATGAGGACAGTCCACCTTATACAGCCAGGTCAAGTAAAGTCTTCATAGGAATGAATCATTCAATATTCATTCATAATAATATTGTAAGCTACGAGAGTAGGCAATAAAATCTACTACTAACTTCATCAGTTTATTAAAACTGCATAACTTCAGTCTCTGAGCCAAGACTATAGGAATTAAATCTCTATATCTTTTTTTTATATATTTAAACACTTATGTTTTTACCTTGTAAAATTTACATACAGGTACGGGATTTTCAATACAGAATCGCTAGTTGAACAGACGTCCCATTGTTTGTAACAATATAAAGTAATTTCACAGAAATTCAAATCATAAAATGTTACTACCTGATTTTTTTTAATACATTGCCGATATATACCTAATTATTTAAATATATTATCAGATCTAGAGTTATATATTAACTTCAGTAAATGTATTTAAGGTAATAAAAAATATTTTCCCCTTCTATGAAATATTCCTATATTCCACTTCTTCTTTAACACAAGTCTAATAAAATAGTTTTAAAACAATTTCATTGCCTCGATTCAGTGAACGAAATATATTTTTTCACAAACTAATTTTAAATTTTACATCTAATTAGGGAATTGAATTATGTTTCTAAAGTTTCCATGGTATCCTTTTCATAATATTAATTTTTAGTAATTATTGTTAATAATTGTTTCATCAATCACCGTTACCTTCTATGACTTTCTATACTAGAAATAGTTTTTTTCTAAAATTGTCAGCTTTCCAACGATTCCTCTATAGTTTATATTGAACTATATGTACTCTCGTAGGCTAACTACGAATATGGTGGTTACTCGATCTTGAATGTGATCCATTTCACGAACTTTGAGCTCACATTCTATCGTCGACGGATGGACGTCCTAAGCTGTTCTCGAAAATGCTTAGTAAGATTGAAGTCCGGGTTGTGTGCAGGTCACTCCAACATGCGGACACTAACTTCGTCTATGTACTTCCGTGCATTTTCGATGTGCGGCCTGCATAAATAGGAAACAGAGGATGACAAACGGGCCGAAATGTACCACATATTCCTGGAAGTAATTGTGTGCATTAAGCATCGGCCTTCTGAACACTTGGAGGTCTGTTCTTGATTCAAAACATTTTTCACCCCAAACCATCACCAATCCTCCTCCAAATTGCACTCTTCCAGCTATATTGCAATGAGCGTATTCCTGGACTCATCAGAAAACAGATAAGATCTTCTGTCTGGGCAGCGTGTTCATGATAAAAGTGAAGACGAGCTTCTCGGTGTGCTGCGGTGAGTAGAGAGCCGCAATCGATGAGAAGCCTCAACTGAAGTGTGGTAGAGATTTCTGATGGTCTGCATAGGAATGGAGTGGTTATCAGCTAGACCTGTCGCTCTTGGATGGCCCGATCTTCTAGTTTCCAGTCTCCTGGTACTTCTGAACGGCTCGCCGAACCATTGTTTCAGGCAGCTCTTGGAACTCATGCCGCGTATCCCTGACTTCTGCCGTTCTCACGTAACGCAGTTATATGAGCGACACATGCGGATCTACGGAGGAGAGGAGGGCTTTCGTGTTGAAGTCCTCACCCCAAAATGGTAAAACGTAACCATGTTTTATGGTAAAAATTATGTCTTAATGTATTATCTCTCGTTTAATTACATGTAATAGGACTTTAAGAATCACTTAAACACCACTTCTTATAGATAGTTGGTATCTTTCTTTTTTTGCAAATTAATTATCGTTTTATATATGAAACAAAAAGTCGGGTTGAAGTCCTCTAAAAAAAATACACAAAAGCCAAACGAATGCGGTTGAACTGGCAACTGGAGGAGAAAAACGTATATGGGGTCCACGTTTTATTTCAATACTTTTAAAATTTACTTAATACTTGTTAATCCTTGAGAGAATCATGAGAATTTCTCGAAATGATTAATGCTTGTTAATGCCCTTTGACCTGTCACATATCTGTTATTATCTATGTCATATATCAGGGTCTGAAATATTGGTTTAATATGCTGGTTTTATATAAGATTCTAGGTCCGCGTTTTTTTTTTTTTTTTTTTTTTTTTTTTTTTTTTTTTTTTTTTTTTTTTTTTTTTTTTTTTTTTTTTTTTTTTTTTTTTTTTTTTTTTTTTTTTTTTTTTTTTTTTTTTTTTTTTTGTATCTGTTTATTTCATATATGGAAAAGTGAAAGTAACAATAAATAAAATAGTTTCAGGATTATTTTTGTTAGAATCCTCTGAACAATAATTACTTATAATTAAAACGTGTGTTCTACTTAAAAATCTGAAACATTTTTGTTAATATCAGTTCCCTAACAGGCTCTGTATAAAACAGATTGAAGGGACTGAGCTACATTACTGCCGATCCCCTTCCTGCAGCTAACTGTAACTGTATTCCATTCTTATCGCCGATAAAGTCCTTTCAGTGCCGCTCTTTTGTCTCGCATAGACAATGAAGGAAAGTTTGACTGATGCAATGCCAACTATCTCTCGCTTATCTAACCCTTCCATATTCCTTTCGATATCATTCTTTTAGTAAAAGAGTACAGAAAGGTAGTGTGAATGCAATATTGAAACAATTCCTACCTACTCGCTGTATGGCCGGTTGCTAATCTAGCGGGGTCAAAGTCCAGAATCCATGTTAATGATAAAGAAATATTTCCTTCTCATGTAGACTAATCTATTATTGTTAAACAAGGTCATTGAATGGTTTTAGCTAGATTTCGGACATATTATGGGACTTGGTTATTTGGACTCGGAGGACCTCAAAACGCGTATTTCCTTTGAAAATTCAGATTCGAAAATTTTCAATACTTACCCTTACTATATATTACATATATAAGTAAGTGAAAGTAACAATAAAATAAGGATTCTGACAAAACATTTTTTTCAAAGCGAGAAGGAATTGGTCGGGAAGGGGGGGGGTGCGGTCAAATAAATATTATATTTTTAAAAATAGTATTTTTAATTACGCCGACGTTTCGACCCACCTTGCAGGTCTTCATCAGGGCTACAAAAGATGCAATATAATATAATATAAAATATAAATATAAAAGGTACATGGTGAAAATAAAATAAATGAATTATAAGTAGATATTAAATAAGAAACGGTTGTCTGATAAAGAAATAGTAAGATAACATCAGAGATATAGTGAGTGACAGCGTAGCTAAATGTTAAGATGTTATATTATTATTTCTTTATCAGACAACAGTTCCTTATTTAATATCTACTTATAATTCATTTATTTTATTTTCACTTTTATATTTTGTATCTTTTGTTGCCCTGATGAAGACCTGCAAGGTGGGTTGAAACGTCGTCGTAATTAAAAATACTTTTTTGTTTAAATATAGTATTTATTTGACCGCACCCTCCCCTCTCCTTCCCCCTCCTCCTCTCCCCACCAAATCCTTCTCATATCAAATCACGGTCAACCATCTGTACATCTTTTTCTCAAAAAATTCAGATTTTCTAAAGCCATTTAAATAATACTTTTGAGCATCCTTAAAACATGTATATTGTAGATTGGCTCGCGTTTGTCAAAGTCCGTTCATATAATCTATTTCCAAATAATTTCAGAAAGATATTATCCTACTTTAAGGTTCATTGTTATTTTATAATATCTACTTTTTTTCTTTATTTTTGTAATTATTTTTTTTATTTAAAAGTATATTTTAACTAATAAATGAATGTTTTCTCGCAGGGCTGTTACACGTTACCTGCTCTTCCTTCTCTCCGTAAGAAGAATATCGAAAGGAAACAAATCAGTTGCTGAAATTTTCAAAGAGGATGTTGTTCAAAAGAACCCGAACAAAGTTCTCTTCATTTTCGAGGGAAAGGAATGGACTGCTGGACAGGTATGTTTTATTTCTACAAAGCAAAAAAAAAATGCCAATACAATAATAAGTTGATCTCTGTAAGATTTCATTGGAGTTAATAAATTAGAAGCTTGTGTTTTGTTATTCATGATAAATATGTATCGAACATAAAGATTGACAAAGTTTAAGTTATTGTGGTCATCCTGAGAAATATAAAAGGCAATTTTCGATTCAGATTTTTTTTTTTTTGGGTGGGTGGTTCCACTAGTCGGTCTTCCTCGCCTTTTTAAGACTATACGGGTTTTTTCCGGGTCAGGGGGTGTGGGCGGGGATTTAGAAGACTCCCCGACACCGGGACGCGAACTTGTGATTATTTTAAATCCATTGTTTCATAGATCATGTTGCCGGGCAACGGCGGTGCTGTGCACACACTTTAGCCCGTTCGCCCACCCCGCCCACCTTTTTCGATTCAATCTAGGTTTATTTCGAGACCGCATAACATTATACATATAGTAACTAGTTTATAATCCTTGAACGACCCACTGAGGTGTGACACACCCCACAACATTTTCAATATTAATTTACTTTTTTATTAGTAGCTCTTTGGCCAAGTTTTTCATATAAATAAAAATCATGCATAGCCAAGCTAATTACAGTCATTAGTCATTGTTGCGCTTATATCATTATTGGGAGTTACCGAAAGTCATTATGGGGTATCCCACAGCCCAGTGTGTTGTTTACGTGGCTCTCCTGGATGCCTCACACACCAGTGTGCTGTCTATGCAACTGTCCTGTGGATTTCGTATCCCAGTGTTTTCTTTGTTATTTACTTCAAATAATTAAGGTGTGGATTTCTAATGTTATATTTGTTAATTAATTTTATTTTCAATTCAGACAGTTGAGAAACTATTTTCTTATTATGGCAACTAACAAGAAAATGTATTCTCTTCTGAAGAAATACATAAATTGTTATGGGAGTTAGAAGATGAATAAAAGATGCATGGAGCATATTAAAAATATATGGCACAGTAACGTTTGATCAATTGTGGCATGTGTGTTAACAGCAAGAAAAAAAGGAGGCTGTCTTTGCGATTTTTCTTTGGAATGTTGAACCATGCTAGTATAAACAACGTTATATTGTTCAGCTTAATTAACTGGGAAAAGAAGATGAAATGGATAAATTGTTTATTTGATTTAGGCTATTCGTTACTCCAGCCCTGTTTGAAAGAAAGACTGCAAGTGGAGACACTCATACGAATGCCTTCTTGCGACCTAGGAGACATTTTGGGAATTAAAAAATAAACGACTACTGTTAGAAAAACAAGCCAAATATTTGCTTTCCAATATAGAGAAATATATCAAGACAAAATGGTTTGTCAGCAATGTAAGAGACTTATCTGTAATGAACACACGGCTACAGTTTGCTTGGATTGTTGTGAGTGGTCACATATATGGCCCCCACTATAGGTTTTATCTTTTTAAGTAAGCAAATATTTTTTTCCTCTATTATGTATATATTTTACATTCCAAGTATATACATAATAATTAATTGATATAAACTTAATATATTTTCAATAGAAATTGTTGATCCTTTTTTTATTTTTTAGCAATATAAATGTTAACTTTTTACTTTATGTTAGCATATAAAATATATTTTCTTAGATTACATTGAATTTATTTTTTTTTTGTTATCCTGGTTATTTACCTTATTTCTGAAAAGTATATGAGTTCCAGAGCATAACGATTAAATTTTGATAATTTCAATTTAGGGGTGTGCCACACCTCCCCTCCCCAGAGTGTCAGAATGAGTTTACTTTTTTACGCAGGGAACACCCAAGTTGTGTAAGCAACAAAATCGGTCCACTAATTCCCGAGATAATCTTGGCACAGACAGACAGACCAAGGGCTGAAAGTGTGTTTTTCGGACTCAAGAGGCTCTGAAACTTATAGATCCGTCGAAAACCGCATGTTGGAAATTGTGCCCGTTCGCAGTACTTTCCTTACCTAGTATAGGTAGGAAAGTAATAAATTAAAACATGTGTAGAAAATAGAATACGCGGTATTATCGCTAATGCTAGTTCGACTCCGATGATTTTTTTTTTTGGTTTTGTTGGTAATTTAATTACCTTTCAAAAGTTTTATTATAAATTTTACCGTAGAATACATACTTAGTGAGTTAGGCCGCCGAACATTTTTCTTTTCTTTATAATTTTTTTTCTGAATTTTCTCGAGAATTTAGTACATGTACAAATAATTCAAAGGACATTAATTAGAAAATTATGGGAAAGTTTCATCAAAATCGTTAGACCTGTTTTAGCGCTATAGTCTAGAGAAAAATATGTTTTCATTTATTGCGCAGGGAGCATACAATTTGGATCACAGGCATCAGTAGTCAAAACCCTACAAAAAAAAAAAAAAAAAGAAGAAGCAACAAAATCGGTCCACTAGTTCCCGATATAATCTTGGCACAGACAGACAGACCAAGGTCTGAAATTGTATTTTTCGGACTCAAGAGGTTCTGAAGCGTATAGATCCGTCGAAAACTGCATGTCGGAAATTTGACCCGAACGAAATACTTTCCTTACCTGATATAGATCAGGAAAGTAAAAAAAAAAATTTTTGGCTTAAATTTCGTTGTTCATTCTGTTGAAATGATGCACTTTATCATTTACTACTCATCGTGCGTATGATGGTGTCAATGTCTCCCTCCATAGAAATTTTATGGCAAGTTCTAGACATGGGTCTATAATAGGTTAATAACTTTTAAGATAATTCATCCTTCCTGCCATAATAAGCATATATACAAACGTCAAACCCAATAAATAATAATAGTAAGTAGACCGCTGATGAAAGTCTTTCTTCTTCTAGCTCTATTTAATACACTAAGAGGTTCTTGGCTGGGCAGGTGACCGACTAGCCTAGGAGGCCTATATGTGCACTAGTGTCGAGTACCTCTATCATAAAACTCTAATACAGGGTGTTTCGTAATTCCATTACACTATTTTAGGTATGTGTTCACTAACACAAAATAAACAAAAAAGTACATATTAACATATATCTCAAAATCATTTATTAAACAGATATCAAAGGTTAAATATTGATTACTTATTATTACTATTTATTTATTATTATTACAACATTTAGAGTAACTGTTCAAAGGGACCTCCGTTTTCTTGAATGCATCATTCAGCACGACGAATCCATGCTTCTCTGGCTCTTCGTATAGCATCAGGATGGTGCTTGATAATTACTACGGATTCCACGACTCGATTTCTTAGCTCCTCTCGCGTGCCAACTGACGCAGAATAAACCGTAGACTTCATCCAGCCCCACACAAAATAATCTAATGGTGTTAAATCCGGAGATCGTGATGACCACTTAACATGTCCGTTTCGACCAACCCGTCGGTCTCCATAAGTTGCATTTAAATAATCAGTGGGGCACTATTAGTGAACTGTGAGCTGGAGCACCATCATGCATAAACCGAAGCCTTTGCCTAATCGGTTTAGATATTTTTAAGAAAAAATCTGGTGCACACATCACACGACTTGCACTTACCATTCTCTTCTTAGCAGAAATAAGTGTTTTCAGAAGGGAAAAGTAATAGTTAAAATCACGGGCGGTTCTACGGGGGGGGGGTCTTGCGGGCTGAAGCCCCCCTCTCCTCTCCCCCCCCCCCCCAAAATGGTAAAATATGACCATATTTTATGGAAAAAAAGTTTAAAAATACCTCTTAAAGTATTATTGTTCATGTAATTACATTTAAAAGGACTTAAGGAATCACTTAAACACCATTTCATATTGCTAGTTAGTTTCTTTCTGTTTTTCCTAAGTAATTATGGTTATTTTTATGAAAAAAAAAGGTTTTGGGCTGAAGTACCCCAAAATTAAATCCTGGATCCGCTAGTAGTTAAAATTATAGACGCTATATTTATTTGCATTTCATTGTGTGTATTTTTATTTATTTTATTACTCTTATATGTTCAAATTTTAATTTTTATATCGCTGTAATCTAGACAATTAAATATTAAATAATACCAACGATAGCATTTATAAAAACCGCATATGTATATGTACATTATATTGTCGGATTCCAGATTATATTAAACTCATGTTAGGTATTGAAGCCTGTTCTAATCTTTCGGGCGGGTTCGGTTGAGCACGGGCGCGCTTGTAATCCTTTGGTTCCTCCATTAGAACTATTATCTGTTACGATCTCTTATTTCTCCTATAGTTAATTATCAAATTCTTTCATATTTTATATTTAAATATTTTTTATATCAAAGATTAATGTGAAAAGGTAAATTATTTTAAATTTAAAAAATGAAGGTACTTTAGAGGAAGCTAATATTGAAAATTAGCCATTTAAGTCCTGTCAGAGAACATCAATGAGAATAAAACCTACATTATATTAAAACTGCTTAATGATCTACTGAGTTTAATCAAAATCGTTGGAGCCGTTTTTTTAGAAAATCGTAAAATTGTGTTAAATCAGTGATTTAAAGTACAACTTTCTGTTTGCCGATTTTGACAGAAATGTTACTGAAATATCCCAGGCTTATAAAAACTTTAAATACGCAATTTCAATTTCGTACGACTTTTCGTTTTTGAACTAGGATATTCACACACACACGCACTCAGGGGACCTCAAAACGTGCATTTCTATTGAAAACTGGAATTAGAAAATTTTCATGATTGCAATACTTACATATATAGGTAAGTGAAGCCCTAATGTGGCATAATACCACTTCAGTTTCAGGCAATCCCCTCCTAAGTGTTCGAGCTTCAAATATACTCGTATTTGCCTTCTCTTTTGGGTGTACAAAGCTCATTACCTATTAATGAGTCGAAAAATGACTGGTACATTTATCTTAGGTGTATATGCTAGCAATCTACGAAAATTTAAGATTAAGATTAAATTTGGGATTAGTGGTAGTAAGTATTATGACAGTTTGGTGCATTCAAATAGAGACCGAAAAAAATCCTGTTCACTACAATGGAGGGGATTGGGTTCAGTACTTTGTAATGAAGAACTAACTGCTTCATGGTCAATGGTTACATAAGGAGATGATTTGACCGTTATCAAGCTCAAAGGTCAGGTTTTTCTTCATTATACAGGGTATAACGTAGGATGGTCTCCGGATACCTGAGTCGAACCAGGACTAATGTAGCAGAATAAATAATTATCTGCCAAAGCCGTATTTAAACCCGTAGCATAGGAATCCAGTCGCTTACTCGCTTCATCATAGAAATACATCCAATTTGAATATTTATACAATCTTCCATTACCATTTGTTTATTACCTAACTCATTTCACAACCGATCATTAACAATTAAATTAATTTCAATCGGTTGATAGAATTTTTTGAAATTGACATTAAACCATTTGTATATTGTTCCACAAATTTCCCCCAATGAAGACCCAAATCGAACAAACCTTTTATGTAATATATTTGTATTTGGGAAAAAAATTGTTTCCGAAATGTTTTTTTGTTTTTTTTGTATGAAATTTGATGAAATTAATAATAGGTTTTTTTACTAATTATCTCCAACATTATACTAATTTGAACGAGCAATTTTTGAAATTTAGGCGTTCGCAAGGGATGTAAAATATTCAATGTAAAATAGTGTGAGCAAAACCTAAAAAATATCAATGATATATTTATATACTTATATTTTAGAAATAAGCTCTAAAAGTTGAAGGATATCAACAGAATGTATTTGAGCATTACCAAGAAAAATGCTCATCTAATTAGTGCTCAATCTTTGTTGACTGTGATATTAATTTTAAAACTGCTCTATGAGTGACGTCAATATTTAATTTCTGTTGAAATAATTCTTAACAAAATTCTTCTCTGCTTGATAAGTCCTCTGGTTCAAGTCTTCATCTAATACCTTGACTATTTTAAGGCTTTATTAAAAACAATATTTCAGTAGGAGTAAGTGTGCTAAACTAAAGTTCTAATAGTTGAATGAGAAGTTTAAAAGTCAAGCTGGAATGAACAACACCATTATTGACAGGCAACCATTACAAAAGAAAGCAAACTATATAAAGTAGTACTTAACGAGTTTATCTCTATGCACAAGTCCTAAGCCTTTTGGTTCGGAGCCAGGAATCCTTGGAGAACTTCCTGGGTATAAGCCAAAAGGTCATGTAGAATTGATTTCAGGGCATGTTTTATTATTTACATATGGAGATCATATTTTCTCTCTTGAAAAACGAACAATTGAGTCGATTATTTCCTGATATGAATCCTAATCATTATTAACAATTTTTCAGAAACCACGAAAAACTATATTTCTAATTTCTATGTAATATTGAAACGAATATTTAAAAAAATAAATAAATTAAGAAATTTTTTATTCAAGGACATATTTCTGAAAAGCACTGATTATTCCATTATTACTAATTATAAAAAATGTTTAATCTTGAATGGTGTCCCTTTTGGACAGAAGATAACTTGAAGTCTCGTTTTCGAACAAAAATAAGGTTGATAGGAGTTTATTTTGAGGGGGGAAAAACGGTGTACGATTCGGAGAGAATAAAGTTATCAAAATTGTACAGTAAAAAATTAATTTGTTGTTCACAATAATGGCACTATAAAATGAATTTTTATTTATTTTATGTATTGTTTATTTGCTTTCATTTTGTTATTACTGATGGAGTAGGTCTCTTGACTATTTTCTTTTTAATCTGCTTCGGTCATGTGAAAGGGAGCAGAAAATAGACAGAACTAGTGGGTTGAAGTGATTTTGAATTGTAGAATTAAGTGTAATGTATTTGTCATGGATGTAGGATTTTACTGTTAAAATGTTCAAGTCATTATGTTTAGTGTTATTTATAATATTCCGAGGTGCATAAACAATTGTTTATTGTGTTGTTTGTATTTCGTTTATGTATACATAATATAGTGTTGTAGATAATCCATTTGTTTCGTAAGTTAAGTGAGGATCAGTAGTCCAGAAGTGTGAGAGTTGGATGTATCATCTAATCAGTTCTTTTCTTTTTAATTTCGGATGTATATTCCAAGCATGTCTTTTGTCTAAGTAGAGTCCAAGTGCACCGTACATAGTTCTTTATTGTCAATAGGTATGGATAAGCATGAGGCTTTCCTAATAGAGGAACTTACATAGGTGGATTTGCTTGTTGGATTTGGTTATAAAAATTAATTAATTTTTAATTTTCATTTGAACAAAACAATTAATACCTTTTTTTTAATAATACTTAAAGAATTTTAGTTTCATTACATTCCTTGAAAAAAGGCTGGTTTTGGAAATAAACTTATTTTCACACAACTTTTTTAATATTTAGTTTCGTTTTAAAAAAACAAAAAAAAAAACAGTATATTTATTGTTCTTATCTAAAGGAAAATTTTTCTATTCACTGATTATTGTCGAACTATATTGGCCCTATGTATTATAACTCTAACTTATTCTATGATAACAGTAAACTGAATTTATAATTCTGGATTGATGATTGACTGTAGAGAATAATTAAAGAGAAGAATGATTGAGTTGATCAGTCAAAAAAATAAATAAGTGTATTTATTTTTATTTTTTCCGACGTTTTGGCCCAAAGTTCAGGACTTCATAAGGCCTGGTCAAACGAAACCAATCTGGTCAAGCGGGATTCTTTCATTTGACCAGCTGTGATGAAGGCCTGAACTTTGGACCGAAATGTCGGCATAAATAAATATACTTATTTATTTTTATTTATTTATTTTTTTTTACTGATCACCCCAACCATTCTTCTCTCCAATTAAACAGAATTTTATTACTAGATTTCTTATTAGTACAATTTCCTATTAATGGTATATTTTTTGTTTTAGATTGAAGATTATAGCAACAGAGTTGCAAACTTATTCAAAAGTCATGGCTTTCGGAAAGGTGATGCTGTAGGTTTGATGCTCGAAAACCGACCGGAATTCGTCTGCATATGGTTGGGCCTTTCCAAAGTTGGTATCATTACAGCTCTGATTAATCACAACCTGAGGCAGAATTCCCTCGTACACTCAGTCACTATTGCCAAATGTCAAGCTCTCATCTTTGGAGAAGATTTTATGGATGGTAAGATATGGAATGAATATACTTATATTGAATACTTGATTTCTTAAGATATTTATTTTATGATAAATGTTTTCATACACATGGAACTTGCAAGTAGTTAAAAGAAACAATAATTGTGACTTCAATATTCATAAATAAAGATAAATTAGGTTAAATAGAAATTAGGTATTGCAAATGTAGTAGTGATTTGAGTTGTAATTTTACAATTATTATATGTATTATACCAAAATCGTAAACATTTCATGCTAAATGGTTTAACAGTAACTATTCTACAATAAGCAAATTTTCTCAAACAAAATTAAACAAATCTCTCTTTGGTCATTCCTATAGTCATCAAGGTGGTCTTTATGGGTTTGTGAAATATTTCAGTGCTTTTATCCGACTGTTCATAAAAAATACACTCCAAATTAAATTAAAGCCTAACAACATCAAGATTTTTATGTTGTTATAAAATATCAACTTCCTCCCTAAAACTACAGGACCATACTTAGAAAAAATTAGGTTAGTAACTAGATTGATAATTTAGGAATTATAAAATAACTTTTTGTATTAATTTATGTTATAAAGGAGATAGAGACTATCATATTAGTGTATTACATTTTTCAGACAGTTTTGATTTAAAAAGCAACTAATAAATTCAAGATTATTGTTATAAATAATTTAAATTAAAATTATTTTGAAATTCAATCCTTATCAAAGACCTGGAGATCTTCTATTAAGACAAATACAATTACAATTTTCACTCTACATTGTAAGTAAAATAAATTCACAGCACTCAAACAAAAAAAAATTTAAACTTATTAATGATAAAATAACTCTATACAAAATTCTCCAAGAACCTTCTAATCTCACTTATTCAAATACTCAAGTATTTTTATCACTTTTCTCTCAATATATTCAACTATTAACTAACTTGACTGCAAGCCTGGTGAGGCTTATATAGACACTCTAGGTGGGCCCAGATGATTCCCCCAAATCTCATTCCTCAAAAACCATTGGCCAACTCTCGAACTATCCAGATCTTGCTAATTTTTATAACTTTTAATATTTTTATAACTTTTGACATTAAAAACCATTATAATATTAAATTTCAGAAATTATGATTAATACTTAGAAAGTAAATGTTAATAAGAATCAATTTTTTTTTAATATTTGCAAAATCAATACTTTTTAAAAAATGTGTTATATTTTAGCGGTGAGAGAGATTGCCGGTAGTCTGAGCGGTGTGCGCCTCTACAACTGGTCTGAGAGTGAACCCCGCTATCCAGGAGGTGAAATCGGCGAGAGAAATCTCTCACCTCTGCTTGCCGATAGTCCCACCTCACCACTGCCATTGGATGGCATTAACTTCCACGACAGGCTTCTTTACATTTACACCTCTGGTACCACTGGTCTTCCAAAAGCTGCAGTAATTACCAATGCAAGGTATGTCACAACATTCATATAGAGGATAAATGTTTATTGTTATTGTATAAATTGATAAAGACAAAACAGTTCAGTATATTTTTCAGACAGACTCAGTTTCTCAATTGATTTTCTTTTTTCTATTGTTGTTTAATACTTATTGACAAGTTTTATTGTTATCAGTAAAAAATGTTGGAAACAGTGCATATAGGTGAAAATGTAAATTTTAGTTTGTTCAAAGCTGCTAATTTCCAAAAGTTCTTCACCATTTGCTGAAATCAAATTCAAGAGTATTTTATATAAATTTCAAAACTATTTCAATACAAAAAGCTGACAAAAACGTGTATTGCTATGGACTATAACACGAAAACAAATGTAACAATTTTAATGAAACTTAGCTAAAGTCTTCCCCATGAATCCCTTTTAATTTATGTAGAGAACATACTTCCCCAAAACGAAGCTGAAAAAACTAATGATTTATTCAAAATTTTATTTGTGAAAAGCTCAAAAAGTACACAACTGATACTGCACTGTTTTGTACTGTAACTATATATTATAAAGTATGTAGGAATGTATAAGAGTAGAAGAAAAAAATTTTTTGGAAGCATAGAAATTCATTTATGTTGTTCTTAAATTTTCAATAATGATCATGATCAATGTTTATATAAATCCTCATCTTTAATTTATCCTTGTATTCTTTATCTTTTGGATTTTCTTTATTTATTTATAATATTTTCTTCAAATCCAAATTCAAAGCATTTAATAAACTCAAATTCATAATTTTATTAAAAAAGATTGATTTTTAATCCTGAGTGATTCTCTTTTTCCAGTTTTATTTAATTTAGCTGTGGAATATGTCATTGATTCCAATGATCAATTAAATCAAATGCAGTTTTAACTGTAGAATAAAACCTATTAACAACAATAAAATCGTATATCCACGACAAGTACAATTCATTTCATTCTTCAACTCTAAATCACATCAATCCATACATACTCACACCAATTTAATTATCCGTTTACTTGAAGTATATGATCAGAAAGAAAAATGTGAGTAGATAATAAACTGAACATGTATGTCCCATTCATCAGTTCTTTGTCTAGGTTTTTTAAACAATTAAACCTGAAAATACTCATTATTTCCTGACCCTTGTGCACTATTTTATCAAAATTTTGAAGTCGGCGGTTTACTTAATATAAATTACATAATAATGTAGTTATAGATTATTTTAACAGTAAAATTTGGGTCAGTTGATCAAAATAGAATTAATTGAATTGCAATTTATTAGATCTTGCTGACTCAATTTATCTGAATTACCTGGCTACAATTAAAATGTAAAAATAAATTTCAAAATGCTACCATACATTCCTCTGATTTACTAAGATGTTCTAATATCCTTACGATGACAAAAAAAAAAAGTGGGTATTGACTGTTAAGATGAATCAATTTAGAAAAAATGTCTTTGAATTTGAATTTTTTTTTGTCACTAAATGCTATTGTAGAAAATAAATTGTTTAATTTCTGATAAAGGACAGTTTTAATTTTTAATCATCATATTCATTTTCCCTCCACTCTTCTGACAAATGGACGTGTTCTTTTGTGATTAAGTAAAGCAAAGGAACTGAGGACAGTATATTTGCCTGTTATCTGATAATTACCTATGTAACAATAGCTGATGCCTTCAAATAGGGTGGCATGACTAACATATTTTCAATAGCAACTTATCCTTCATTGTTGGTTGTATATTTACAATTTGATGAACAAAATAATCTAATTCATAAATTATATTTTAGATACTTTTTCCTGGCTGGAGCTATATCTTACCAAGCATGGTTTAAGAAAAACGATGTATTTTATACTCCACTTCCACTTTACCATACTGCAGGAGGAGCCATGTGTATAGGTCAAGCTATAGTGTACGGTGCAACAATCGTTATTAGGAAGAAGTTCTCAGCCTCTTCTTATTTTCAAGATATTTCCAAATTTAACTGCACGGTAAATGACAATTTTATTGTAGCATTAATGATTATCATCAGTACTGTCTTTACATTATGATATAAATATATTCTCATTTTATTTTAGAATTCTGTATAACAAAAAACTTTAATTAATTCCAATCCTCTATTACTTGATTAAATATTTTATTGGCAATCAACTTAAGGGAGAACTTTTTGTGTGACTGGGAGGTTACACTCAATAAGAAAAAAGTCTTTAGGGTAAATGTACCAGTAGCTAACATACTTAAGGAAACTTCACTGAACTTTTATGTGTAAAAACTTAAATATTGATGTTATCATATTTTTTATAGATTTATCTTATAGAACTATTCCTGGTCTTACCAAGACATATTTCAAATCCATGAAAAATTTATCTAAATTTTAAAAAAATGAAAATTAATAGAATAGTTTTGTTGTACCAGTTGCTGACACTATTTGATTTGAAATGTTCCTATAGCCAACAGAGATGAGAAAAAGGATGTAATTAAGGAAAATTGCATATTATTCATTTTAAGATTAACAAAAACTAACTTATTATAAAACTAATTTCTTGTGTTTTTCAACTTAAATTTATCAATAAATGCTAGTCGCTTTTAAGAACCTGTTTTTGGCTATAGGAAAATATATTTTTGCTTTATATTTAATCCAAATCATTACCATTTTTTTTTTTAATGAGTCAGTAGTGAATGGTCTCATTTTTAAGATCCGTTATATTGAGTATATCTATTTGAATTTATGCGAGTACAGGCCTGTCAACTACTGGCAAAAGTCCCCACAATAATGTTCCAGTAGGTGACACTTATTAAATATCCAATTCCTTCATCAGGATCAGTTAAAAACAGATTTAACATAATTTAAAAACACTCCAAAAAACAATCAAATAAAAATTTTAGAATAAATCTGAGTAGTTATGTAGTAAAAGGTAAACCTAAGATATGATGTTCATACTGACAGATAGTTCTTCCTAAGACACTAAGTGGACTGTGAGGGACTTTCCCAATTTGCCACTTATTATTTCTATTGCGATTTCAGGCAAGAATGAAGCAAAGTAGGCAAATATACAAGGAGAAAAAATATAAACTAAAAATATATGAAATAGAGGTCTAGGGGGTCCTTTAATTTATTATTCCCATTTTTCGAGGAGGATGTCAGGTGTTGGTACACTGTCAGCTATTGGTGCTTTTACCCTACCTCTAAATATTAAACTTCAGCCACCTTACCAAATATGTCATCAGTAATTTTTTATATAAAAAAGATTTATGGTTATAATATAAATGTTATTAAGATGTACAAATATATTTAAGTTCCATTTAGTCTATAACTTTTTATACTAAATGAAAAAGTCAATTATATAACCTAAGAATGGCTTTTCAGCTCAAAAATTGTATGATTGAATAAGAAAATTGTTGATGAATAACATCATGAATTTTTTTTATGTTGATTATTGTTTCAATAACTAAAGGCTATTGTTAGATGTTTGTGCACTTGATGGTTTTCCCTTAAGTTGTTATTTCTTAATTAATATTATTCACATATTCATAAGAAGATTTATCATTGGAATTATAGTTTTTGTAATTATCATATTCAGATTGATTTAATTTTAATTTTTTTTTCATTTTTCAGATTTCTCAATATATTGGCGAAATGTGTCGGTACTTATTAGCTACACCCAAAAAACCAACTGACACTCAGCATAAACTTAGAATGGTTTTCGGTAATGGCCTTAGGCCACAAATCTGGAAAGATTTTGTCGAAAGATTCAACATTTCCAAAGTTGTTGAATTTTATGGAGCTACTGAAGGCAATGCGAATATTGGTATGGAGATATATTCTTTATTATATTCAACTTATTCTATATTTTTGTTTAGTTACAAAAAAGTGTATTGGATTTCTGTTTATGTTCTTGAGAATTTATTTGTGGTCCACTCCTCTTCCATTTTTACTTTCACATACCTATGTATGAAATATATAGTAAAGGAAAGCATTGCGATCGTGAAAATTTTTGAATCTCAGTTTTTAACGGAAATACACGTTTTGAGGTCCCCTGAGTCCAAACAATCAAGAACCACAAAATGATCTGTGTTGAAAGTCTAGCTCAAAAACAAAAAGTCGTACAGAAGTGAAATTGCATATTTAAGATTTTTATATGGCTGGGATGTTACAGCAACTTTTTTGTCAAAATCACCTAACCGGAAGTGGCACTTTATATTATTGATGTAACACATTTTTATAATTTTCTCGCAAAGGGCTCTTAACGATTTTGATGAAATTCATTATATCAGTGTAAAATTAATCATTTTTTAATATATTGTAGGTTTTATTCTCATTGGTGTTCTCTAACAGGGCTTAAATAGCTAATTTTCAATATTAGCTTCCCCTAAAGTACTTTCAATTTTTTTTTTATTTGAAACAATTAATTATTTTCCATTGATCTCTGATATAAAAAATAGTTAAATAGAAAATATGAAAGAATTTGGTAATTAACTAAAGAAGAAATAAGATATCGTAACAGAGAATAGTTGTAATTGAGGAACCAAAAGAATAAAGCGCACCCAAGCTCATCCCAAAGATTAGAACATGTTTTCATACGTAACATGAGCTTAATATAATACGACTCTGATAATATTATGTACATATACATATGGAGTTTGCATACATTTTTTTGTAGGTATTATTTAATATTTAACTGTATCAATTACAGCGATTTAAATATTAAAATTTGTATATATAAGGATACTTAAACAAATAAAAATACCCACAATGAAATATAAATCAATATAGCTTTTTTAATTTTTACTTTCGCTTTCCCTTGGTCTGAAAATACTTATTTCTGCTAAGAAGAGGGTGGTAATTGAAAGTTGTGTGATGCGTGTACCACACCAGATTTTTTTTTCTTATGTTAGCTTAAGATAGAACTCATATTTTTTACAATAGTATAGAAAAAAAAATTTAATTTTTTAAAATATATGATAGATTGTTTTTTAAAATGATGTCTGTTTTCTGTTAAAAATCTCTGCTTTTAATAATATACTAATTTTATTATATTTTTATTTATTTAGCAAATGTTGACAACACAGTGGGAGCCATTGGTTTCGTTTCTCGTATCCTTCCTCAGGTGTATCCGATATCCATCATCAAAGTAGATCGAGCAACTGGTGAACCGATAAGAGGCGCAAATGGTCTTTGCATTCCATGTAAAGCAGGTAAAAATATGATTTAATTATATTAACATTTATCTATTGATTGCTGTAAGCTATTAGTTAAAAAAAAAAAAAATTAACTGAGTTTTAGTTGATTTAGCTAGAACTTAAAAAAAGAAAATTTAGATGATCTTCTTGATGACAATGTTGTATTTTATTTATATTTCTTTAGAGTGGACACTCCTGTTAACTGTTGGTTTCTAACCAGTGTGGTTCAGTTTTTCTAATCCCTTAACCATAAGCAAAAATACAAATTAGATTACTGATTCAAAGTTTTCAGTCTTAAAAACGATACATTTTATTACGAATTGATGATTGTAAAACCATACAAGTTTAAATTAAATTTTGTTACATATATGTGTGTGCGTGTGCGTGTGAGTGTGCGTGCGCGTGCGTGTGCGTGTGTGTGTTGTCCCATAACGGAGGATACCTACTTTAAGGGCATATTGCTGAAACTTGATATGATTATTATTAAAATAGTTTCATTTAATATTATAAAAGTTTAAAATAATTTTAATAATATTTGATGTAATTATATTTTTTTATTTTAAATCTAATAATCATATTTATAAAAATTATTTTTTCTTTTCTTAAGATGAACCTGGAGTTTTTGTTGGAAAAATCAATCCTAACAACCCAGCGAGGACATATTTGGGTTACGTCAATGAAAAGGAATCAGAGAAGAAAGTAGTAAGAGATGTTTTTGCAAGAGGTGATTCAGCATTCATTTCAGGTAATTTTATATTACTTATTTTAAAAAAAAGAAACATTTTTTTAAAATATATTTCTTCATAATTTAATCATATCTAACTCTTGATATGATCCTAGAGTAGTTGTTTTTGTTTTTTTTTGGGAGGAGAAGAAGGGAGAGAGGGAAATGTACAACATTTCCACCATAAATTACTTGTTTAATGAGGCAATTGTCAATCAGATGTCACTTAAAAAAAATGTATTTATCTCAGACACTTTATCCGCTATTATATATTATGTCGTCTATTATCTGTTTACATCTAAAAGGATTTTGAACATTTTTGATTATTATTTCATTTCCTGTTTTAATTATTTTTACTATTATATTTCATGAAAGAATATTCATCAGTATTAAGTGAAAACTGGAAATACAAAGAGAATCTAACAAACAGAATTTAAAAATTGAATAAATAAACCAATTTTCATGGGTAATTAGTGGTTATTTTTTATAAAGTTGGCATAAAAAGTATTTTGATTAAAAAATAAATAACTAAATTGTTAGTGAAGCTGATTAAAGACTTATTTTATTTTGATAGCTTATTAAAATTAATTATATTTGTTAAAATAACTTTACAGATTATCAGAATTGATCTATTTCTGACACTTTTTTATTTTTTAAAACTTATTGTCATAATTAATGTTCCTTTAGTGAATGTTATTGGTTTGTTGCCTGTATGTTTTTGTTTTTTTTTGTTTGTTTACTATTACATTTCTATTCTAAGGTTGTAGTTTTTATCAATTTATCTTTTGGTTGCATATTTTATTAATTTATACAATTTTTCTAATCAACTAGAAATATGGAGAAAATGGAATCTACACACAGTTCTTCTAAAGATATAGGTAGTAAGATACAGAGTTCAGTAGCTGAGCACATCCATAATTCATGTGTGCATGGTGAATTATGGATTGTTTGCAAAAGTTTAGAGTGCACATTGCACATGGTCTTGCCTTGTATTTAAACTGTAGTAAATGATAGTGTTTTTTTATTATCTTATGCTTGTTGAGTGTCCTCACTAAATAATGATGATTTGGAGTAGCTAAAGCTTTTTTTGTTTTATATTGTAGTTTTTTTTATATAAATTAAGAGTCTGGACATATTCAGGAAATCGGAAAGTAATGTCATTTTCTTACATTAAATTTAAACACATATTTTTTTAACAAGTTTTTATTTTTAACCAATGATGTAATCATCTTTATTATCAACAACCTTTAGCCATCTTGTGTGCAAATTTTCCATGTCAGATCAAAAAAAACCAATTGGTTTTTGAGCAAAATATACAGAGATGGCATTTTAGATATTCAAGTTTTCAAATCTTTTTTCACTTAGAAAGTGGTGAAGCGATTGGAATATATGGAAATCCGATAGTGCAAGATCGGACGAGTATGGTGGGTGTGGCAATATCTCCCACCCCAATTCATTAATTTGTTTCTAGGGTTCGTCTTGTGTAGTGCATTCTTGCATTATCGTGTTACAGAAGCACCTTTTCTGTTGACAATCGCTGGCCGCTTTTCAATTAAAGATTGATTTGCACGATCCAATCATCCATAGTAAAGGACTACATTCACAGTTTGTTCAGGTCTCAACATTTCAAAATTAACAATGCCACTAATACTCCACCAAACACTCAAAAAGGGCTTTTTGGTGTGTAAACCTGGCTTAGCAGTACTTCATGGAAATTCATTTGGAGAGAGCCACTACCTTTTGCTTTTTGGATTATCCTAGAAGACCCAGTGTCTTTTTTTTTTTCATCTTTCATCATTTCAAGATTTTTCATCTCCAGTGATCAAGCAATCAAAAAACGCTTCTGTATTGTGCTGTTGAAGCAACAAGGTGATGGTTTCCCTATCTGCTGCTAATGCTCTTGGATGGTCGACCGAGGTGGGCTAGGAATGTGTGACAATTTCTCGATTGTCTGACACGGAATTGCTTCCACTTTTGCTGTTAACATGTCATTGTCTAACATTGTTGGTCTTTCTATACGAGTCGGAAAGATTAAAACTACACCTTTGGCATTTAACATCATGCATTTGGATAATTATCACAAATGTTTTTGTTACTTTTCCATTACTACTCTTGCAAAACTCAAAAAGGATACGATGCCGGACATGTATTTCTTTTGGAATTTGGTAATCATTTGACCCAAAAATACAAAAAAAAAAAATTTAAATTTAATTATTTACAATTAGACAAGTTACTATAACCTTAGAATTTCTTTGCCATGACATACATGTACACAATGAGCTGACACATGACTATCAAATAGGGGCATGTATAGAAACGACAATACTTTCTGCTCTCCCTAATATATTGATGAATTTCAACTTTACTGGTTGCTATATCAACAATATAAGTATTTTAATTTTAGAAGTATGTTGATTTTAGCATGGTGTTATATACAAGTTAAAGAGTAAAGCAAATAAAGCCACTTTAAAGTATCAAGTTCTTCTTAAGAGGTGCTTAAATAAAACATTAATAATGTAATTTATTTATTATTGCTACAAAATTTATATTATTTAGCCAAATTAGTAAATTTTTACTTAAATTCATTCTTTGTTTTCACTCTTCTGACATTATTGCTTGGTGATGTGTTATCCATACCATCAAGCGAGGTGTTATGAAATTATATGCCTTTTAGCCGGTCACTGGAGGCTTCAGTTTGCATTTTTAAGGATTTTTTAACTCTCTGTTCTTCTAGGTCAAGGGTCTCCAAACTCTTTTGCTCCCGGGCTACATTGAGGTCTCAAATAAGTCCCCCAGGCCACATTGAGACCTCCCTAAGTCCCACGGGCAAGAGCTTGTAATGAAAAAAAAAAAAGTTCTGTAAATGACACTTCAATTGTAAAATGAGCTTTTCAAAACAAAACAAAAAAAACAAAATGCAATAAATGTTTTAGTAACCTCCTGTGTGGGCTAATTAACTAAAATTAATATTTTTTAAATAGTTTATAAAATTTTACCATGTAATTATAGAAACTTTCGCGAGCCCGATCGGAGGTGCTTGCAGGCCGTGGTTTGGAGTTTTCTATTCTAGGTGTTCTAGGATTTCTTTTTGTTTTCTATTTAATGTTACTTTTTTCAGAAAATATAAAAAATGACAAATTTTAAGTGGCAAAACACTTTTAAATTGAAATATTTATCATTTTTATAAAAATTTGTTTTGTTCAAAGACTTTTTCACACCACTCAACCTCTCTAAAAATTTATAAATTGACTTAGGTATATTAACGTACACCCTACTTTTTAGACAATGCTCACTTTTGCCAATGACCTTGTGATATTATATCATGTATAGTAATTCTGAAAAAACAAAATGCATGAGATAGGAAGACAGAGGGAGTACACCTATACTATGGAGAGCGAGGCACAGGCTGAGACCATACCTAACCCGAAAGTCTTAACCAGTCCCAGCTTAGCCCCACAATTCGGATAGATAACAGAGTGCAAGCACACCACTGGTGCTCATAGAGAGGTCATAAATCCTACTCTCATAGCTTTCATCCGTTCATCAATACACTATATCAGATGACTGGTCTGACCTATGTCACGGACCTAGGTCTGACCTATGTGACTGGTGTCGTACAGCAAGCAATCGCAAACACACGACCGCCAAGACTCCGACAATGCCCTGTAGTATTTTGATTTGATCGGGAAGCTCCTCTTCCCTGACCTCAGAGCACGATTGGTCTCAGACTCCACGATTATTACAATCACTACTGCTTTACATCAACTGCCGATAGTACAGGAGGATGCCTGCACATCCACAGTCGATGAAGGACGACTTGAACCGGGGTCTCAGTCGATAGCCATCCCTGCAGAATAGGAAGACAGAGTTATAAGTTATAACAATATTGAGGTTAAAAGAATCAGATCTTGGAACAAGAGAAGGATTTCATGTATAGATCTATCAATATAGCCTAGATCAATGAAAGCGGCAATATTGATAGAGAGATGTAGCAAAGACTGGGAGCAGCTGGAAAAATGTTTCACTCAATCCGGAAAAGTTTTCTCAACAGGAGAGAGGTAAAAAATAAAACAAAGTTATCTGTCTATAAGTCAACATTCTTGCCCATCCTTTCTTATGTCACGGAGTCATAGACCCTTATCTCTAAACGCTAGTAGCAGATCCAGACAATGGAAATGAGATGCCTGGGATAGGTTGAAGTAAAGACCAGGAGAGATCCACATACAAGAATAAGATCAAACCTTAAGGTACAGCTGGTATAAAACCACTCTTGAATAGAATAAACACACGGTTTGGGCCAATGTAGAATAAAAGATGGTTTGGGCCACCTCCTTAGGATGAACATGGAAAGAACGGTCAGGATAACATATGAGACACGAGTGAAGAGAAGAAGACCATGGATTATCTGGGAGGAAGGCCTGCTGATTGTACAGGAGAGGGACACTTGGTCCAAGCTTTATAGAGGACATCTCCACACTGCTCAGCAATAGAGAGGGATTAGAGTATGAGATGATAACAGCGACTTTGTCCAAGTAGATACAATGCTCTATAAATAATTCATATAAATATGAATTAGCAAATGTTTCAGGACCAGAACTGTGAAAAAAAAGTTATTTAGACTTATTTTAGCTATAAAGAAAATGTTTCTAATAATATAATTTTTTACCTGAGACTGATTGAATTATTGCATTCAAATCTGCATATTGATCTATCAGCAGCACAATTACTAATCACTTAATGAAAGCCTTCTGAATTAGCCAATGCCATGTTTCCTGATCATATACAGTGACCTAATTCAAATTGCAACAAAGCATCCTGAATATTCCTGGGCATCGTGAACGATTCCATCTTCCCTTTGCATCTTGAATCTTCTTTTACATCTGGAGCCATAAATTTCTACTAGAATAATTATAATTTGGGAATCTTCATCCATTTTTACCAAATGTCCTGTTCACGTTTATTCTAATCGAACGAATCTTATTTTATGGATTCCTTGAAGAAGGTTTACAATTCTGAGTTGGTCCTTCGACTCCATTCATAACCCTGTATGATTCCACTATACATCTTGATATAGAGGCTAACATCTCAAATAACTATGGGGACTTTTTGGCAAACATTAAACAAAAATAAAAGCTTTTATGTAACTCTTTCTTCAAAACTGCTCACCATACAAAATATAATTGTATTTTGAAGCTACTTGGGTCCACTGAAAAAAAAATTTAAATTATATCTAGGTCTCTTATGAAGATGCACACACAATTCACATACAAACATCATTACCATATTCCTGTTACTTTTTTCTATTTCGAGTTCAACTAACTCCAAAAAGCTGTGATGAGCTTATGATAAATCTGACATCTGAAACAAAGTAAAACCTTTTCAGTAATTCTAATGAAAGAGCTTAAAAATAAAGTTAAATATGGGACAAATATTCTTTTTATTAGTTAATAACTTATACATCAGTTTGAAATAATTTGCATTTAACATCATAAATATTATTGCTTTGTTTACCTAAGCTTAATATGGTGTATTACTTCATACACTTTCTGCCACCGGTTATCGCAATCCCTTTTTAGATTCTGCTCATTTAAACAACAAACAATTTATTGATTTCATGTATCTATTAAATAAATTTATGATATTTTTGTAATGTAAGCATTTTTAATTTTGAAGACATAACACTTTCAGTAATCCAATTTTGCATAAAATGCTATAAACTTATATCAAATGGTATCTGGTGAGATAATTGTATGCACAATTTTTTAGCCATTTCTAATTCAATTTGAAAAAATAAGTGACAATAACTGAGTTAAAATAATGTTACATAATAGTTTTATTTGATAAAATATTTGCAAAGGAAAATAAATCATAATCCCAGTATTACACATATTAAGGGAATCCTTCTCTCCATGAATGAGGTTTTATCCTCAGAACTGTTCTGTTTGTTTACCAAACAAAACAATATCATAAGTTGTAAAAAAACAAATAAATTCAAACAATTATATATGTTATGGCATCATCAAAAATATCACTATTATAATTACAATTTTAGTTGATTACTTTACTGATTACTTTTAGCTCTAATAAATGTACTATTTTTTAAAAAAATTATATGTACTATACGTAAATCATTTTTAGATTCATTAAAATTTAATAAAAAAATTAAGGATGTTTAAGGTTCAGTACTTAGTAAGGGATGTTTAACGAAGTAATGATCAAAATAAAATTAATGGCTGAACTGAGAAATTTAAAATAACAAAAGAACCTATAATATGTAATATGTATTGTATATTAAAACAATGATTTATTTATATATTCAATTTTTTTTTAGGTGATATTGTTGTTGCTGATGAATTTGGTTATTTATACTTCAAAGATAGAACCGGTGATACATTCAGGTATGGGAAAATATAACTGTATAATAATACTATAATTTCAGTTACATATTCTAAGATATTTTCTCAGAACTTTTTTTCTTTCTATCAAAAAATTTATCACAATATAAGTTAATATAGCTTATGAATTCACCTTCAGTCACTTTTCTTTATTTTTTTTTATCAAATTTGCATGAAGTAAATTGGTCACTCTGAAATAAAAAAATTTCTTTGTTGTAAATGAATATTTAAAGATATATTTGTTTGTAAAATATGAGATATTTTATAAACAGATACAGAGATATATTTATATATATATAAAATTATACACCCTCACAATACTGTTCTGCTAAAGTTAATCAAATATAAACTGTAATGGGTGATAAATATTCAGGACGCAGTCTTTTTAAAAAAAAAAAATTTTATTATTTTTATATTATATATTATTATATTTTTATATTATTTAAATTTTTTTTATATTTAAAAAAAATTTAAAAAGTCCTTCAATAAACTGTAATTATTTTTTTTAAATTTGTTGATGAATGTTACACACCATATTTTCTACATTTTCCAGCCATGTACCCTGTATGGTCTACACACTTTTTCATTGATTTGGAAGCTTGAATATTTCTAGTTCATAAACCGTTTAAGTTTGAGTTATGAACCAGGTATTCAGGAATTCTTTTAATAGGGCAAATAAACAATAGTCACAGAGGTAGAAATCTGAACTATAATGAGTTCAAGGGTTTCCCAGCCCATTCTGCCAAGTTATAATTAGTGAAAACCTTAGCGTTAAGGCTTGATGTAGTTAAGAAGTATGCATTTATAGTGGTCACATGCTGTCTTATTTGGAGGAAAATGGTCAAGTATGTTTCAGTTTCACCTTCTCTTAACTCTTATTCAATGATGAACAAGTAATCACATTCAATAAGCTCTCAAATGGTAAAATGTTGTACTCTGTAAGATTTGCCCTTGAGCTTCGATTATAACTTTTACTTATGAGTTTGTCTGACTTGGCACACTTACGAGGGTGGTCTGAAAAGTTTCCGACTGCAACGTGAAGATGGCAGCACTTGTAAATAAAAGCAAGTGAATTTTGTTGTTCATCTGTTGACCGTTACCCACCAAAAGCGGGCAGGGTGGCCGAATGGGCTAACGCCTGTGCCCAGCAACCTGATATATGACAAATGATATAAAAATAGTCATGTGTTCGCTTCCCGGTGCCAAGGGAGTCTTTTGAATCCCCACACTCCCTGGCCGGGGAAAAACCCGTACAGCCTTAATGGCGAAGAAGGGGGGAGGACCCAAAAAAAAGTTTCAGCCATTTTGGACTCCCAGTTTTTATGTAACAGTAGTTTGAAGTTGACTGCTATGGCTGTTTTTGTGAAAATGGACAAAATAGAGTATCGAGCTGTCATTAAATATTTGGTTTTGAAAGGCAATACGCCTATCAAATCAAATATGAGTTGGATTCTGTGTATGGGGACTCTGCACCATCATTTACCTCAGTGAAATTTATGGCAGCTGACTTTAAATGTGGCCATAAGAGCTTGGGAGACAGACCATTAACAGTCGGGACATCTAAAAACTGCAACTACCGATGAAAACATCACCAAAGTTCACCAAATGGTGCTAGACGACCGCCGAATTAAAGTGAGAGAGATAGCAGAGGTTATGAACATGTCAAAAGAACATGGTTGTTACTTATTAAATCAACATTTAGATATGAGAAAGCTCTCCGCACGTTGGGTGCCGCGTTTGCTCATGTTAGACCAAAAATGTGTTAGAATGAACATTTCCGACACTCTGTTGGCGCAGTTTAGGCACAATAAATCCGAGTTTTGTTGCCAATTAATTACTGTAGATGAAACTTGAATACTCCATTATACACCCAAAACAAAAATACACTCCAAACAATGGACTGCAAAGGAGGAACCGGCTCCAAAAAAAGCAAAAACTGATATCTCGACAAGGAAAATGATGGCGACTGTTTTTTGGGATAGTCATGGAGTTATTTTTATCGACTATCTTCAAAAAGGAAAAACTATTACAGGAGCATACTACGCATCATTACTTGACAAGCTGAAGGCAGAACTTACGGAAAAACAGCCGCATTCGCAGAAAAAAAAAATTCTGTTTCATCAGGACAATGCACCGTCTCACACCTTTGCGGTTGCCATGGCAAAAATCCACGAATTACAGTTTGAACTGCTTAACCATCCGCCCTGAACTGCTCACCAGATCTAGCCCCAAGCGACTTCTTTTTGTTCCTTTATCGAAAAATTGCGCTGGGAGGACAGAGATTTTTGTCAAATGTAGAGGTAATCATCTTTGTGAACAATTATTTTGCAGAGAAAAACGCCAAGTACATTTTGGACGGATTACGGAGATGGGAACATCGTTGGGTAAGTGTCAAGTGCCAAGGAGACTATGGCGAAAAAAGTTCAGAAAAAAGTCTTGCATTTTTGTTAGGTCAGAAACTTTTCAGACCACCCTTGTTTAAAAATTAAAATATTGCTATTTTTGTGATATGGTAATAAATTAAAAACATTTTGATATAATTAATAAAAATAAACATGTTTTGTGGAATTATTTTTGTTCTCTAATATATTGTGGGTGTTAGAATTTTCTGATAATATTATGCTGTTTATAGGAATACAAATGTTTCCTTAATACCACTTATAAAAAATAAAACAGTACCACTACTATCCATGAAAGGTCTTGGGTGTAATACTTAAGTACTGGTTCTTGGTCAACGGTTAAGCAAGAACCATGAGAACATCATGGCATGAGATCACGCTCACCCGCCAGATTTCCCTCCTTAATTTATTATTTAATTAAGAGTGCCCACTTCATAGAGACTGAGTGGGTGAGCCCCAGGAGGGTCTCTCAACCCAAGGATTAATCCATGACTGATATCACTTGAAATGTTATAAATAATTATGTGAAACAGCCAGACTTGTATTTTTTAATATATTCTCTGAAAATATGTTATTTACTTTTGATTTTAATTATTCATTTGTTTTTAAAGGTGGAAAGGTGAAAATGTTTCAACTTCTGAAGTAGAAGGTGTTGTTAGCAATATAGTTGACTATAAGGATTGTGTCATCTACGGTGTACAGGTATGTATACATGTTAATCAGTATCATAAAATTATTAAGTTTGTTTTTTCTTAAGTTTTGGCTGATTAAATCGATATTATATTTTTTATAAGTTATCATTTTTTTTTTAATGTTTATTTAGTTCAAATGTACATAGTTAATATAAATAATTTCCACGATAAAGTAACTATTCTCATGCCAATGTTAAAGGTTTTCGGAAGTGAAGGAAGAGCAGGAATGGCAGCGATAGTTGACCAACAAAACAATCTCGATTTAAATAAACTCACCGAAGGAGTGAAGAAGTCCTTACCCTCCTATGCTCGACCCCTGTTCGTCCGTGTTCTTAATGAAATGGAACTTACTGGTAAGTATTTTATTTTTAAAAATTGCCTTGCTTTCATAATTTGCAAATGTTCTAATATTTACCAGGTGTGTAAGTATGAAAATACACGCTTATTGTGTAAAAATATTTTATTCAAAATATTGTCAATCACTGTATATTTTTCTGCTCTTTTGTGGAGAACCAGTCATCAAGCCATTTTCTTACATTTTCATAAGAAGTGAAGCACTTGCTGAGCAAGTGCACATCGATGTAAATAAGTAATAATAGGACAGAGCCAAGTCTGTTGAGTAAGCTGCATGTGCTAGTATTTTCCAACTGAACACCTTAATCGTCCCTTCACTGATTTTTCATTGTGGGATGGTACTGGAACTTGGTGGGGGCTACTAATCTGACAAGTGGGCTCTATCATAGTCTTTTTTGCCAACCCCTGACAGCTACTCTGAGTTTGCCGCCGTGTACTTGCCAGAATAGGAATGGCAATCGAACCCACAATGTTCAGAACATGCACTCTGGACCCATGTCCCAACATGCTCTGCCATCCTCATGTGTTATGGTGCATTCAATCACTCAATGTTAATAAAATAAAATTAGAGCAAAATAACTTTGTGTTGTCTGGTTTGATATTCTTGTTGTTTTTCTTGCAATATTCAATTCAAATCAATCCTTTGTTATCGATAGCATTCAGTATCCAGCTCATAATACACATACCCACATTCCATGTTCTTCTTCATCATTGTGGTTAACCAAGAGCATACTCAGTGTAAGCTTCAACAAGCATTTGATGCAATTCTGTAACATTTTTCTTTAAATGGTAAGATAAAACTAATACTTTCCGCAAATCATAATTTGTGACCATAAGACTCAACAAGTTAAATATTATAAAAATTACATGAAACAGCTGTTACATTGAAACTTGTATTGTTGTGAGTTGAAAATCTTTGATGATTCACCTGTTGAGGAAGGAAAATGGTGCCAATAGTGCGGTTTAGCGGTAGACTTCATTAACAACTCAACCTATGTATTAACAAATCCTGGTTTCATATTTACATATCTGGTTTATTATTTTTTTTTTTATTACATCCTTGTTATTAGTTTTTATATTTCTGTGGTAAAAATTACACCTGGACAAAAGTATTTTATATATTATTTTAAAATATCAGGTATTTTGTGTTTTTAAAATATATTGTACTTTAATTACAAATTATTTTTGGAAAAAGTATTTCAAATACAAAAAACTTCCTGATGGACAATCAACCTATAATATAGGGAATCTACTCTAATATTAATTTTTGTATTTAAAATATTTTTTTTGTATTTTAGTATTTTGGAAATAAAATACAAATATTCTTTATGCATTTAATATTTTAAAAATAAAATATAGTCACAATATATTTTATATTCCTTCTCAAAATTCAAAATAAAAAAATGTATTTTATTTATTATTTTAAATATTTTATTTGAAATACTGCCCACCCAGGTCTGGTAAAAATATGTAATGGGCTTTGTCCTTAAAGTAATTTATATAAGTCTACAGCATTTTTTGGCTTTATGCATGGGCATATTAGCCAATGTGCCAATTCATACTAATGAAATGCTTAATAGTTGATGTAATTTGATATGATTAGGCTAAATAAGGCGTAAATGAATTCTGGTTAGTTACTATGAGTTAATGTAAGGATAGTAGGAATTGTAGGAAGGGGAATATTGTTTTTGATGAAGGAATCATAGTCAGTGGATGTATTTGGGCCGGAATGGAGAACAAAGTTGTCATCAGCTATTGAGGAATGGTCGCGGAAATTATAAGTAGAGTCTAAGATGTTTATTTTAAAGAGATGGGATGGTAGGCTATTGTGGTTTTGGCATGATATACGGAAGTTAGGAATTTTCTAGAAGCTTTGTTAGGTCGCAACCAAGAAAATCATGGTATTTAAGGTTGGATAGCTTTATAACCTCTGTCATGATGGTAGAGTACTTTTTTGCCATTGCAGTAGTCAATATTTATTTAGATGAGCCTTAGTATCACTCATTGATAAATATGTTCGATGGTTGTCGATAAAAGCTGCTTCTTTAACAAGTTTGTCAACGCTGTGGTTAAATACATTACTACTCTGCCATTTTATCCATATATGAGCATTTATGTTCATGTTATCTAACTGGTATATTATATTAAATATTTCTGATGTAATAGCATAAGAGGAGCTATGTATATTTTTGATAGAGGCAACTACACTTTGGCAATCAGAGAAAATAATAATACGAGTAGCTTCTGCAGATAGGGCATACTTTAGAGCCTTGAGTATTGCCATAGCCTGAGCAGTAAATACGGAAGCTATACCCGTTAGCTTCAATGACTCAGGCATATCTTCTGAGGGATTATACAAAACTACACAAACTTCAAATTCTTACTTGAAGCCGTGTATAATGTCAATTCTTGTTCACAAAGGGGTTAGTGGTCCTTGTGAAAAAAAAAAACATACTTCTCTTAAATCAACTCCAATTTGCTTGAAAGTTTGCCTCTGTGCTTTATCCACAGTTTATGCAAATTATATTTATGGGAATATGTGATAATTTAATTGCCCATAGTTTGTCCGATTGATTGATGTTTTATTCTGAATTGTTGTATGATTTTATAAGCCTAAATCATTCCTCAATAAATTGGCTATATGCAAAAATAATTTTTAAATTAGTCATGTAGTGAAATTAGCATGTTCAAACATACTCTTTAGCTTCTTATGTATTATTTATTTATTTATTTTTTAGGCACTTTTAAAATGAAGAAATTGGATCTTCAGAAGGAAGGATTTGATCCCTCAATCATACGGGACAAACTGTACTACTTAAGCCCTGAAGGGGTTTATGAGCCACTAACAGAGGAAGCTTTCGCACAAATTCAAAGTGGAAAAATTCGTCTCTAAATTTTAAACAATACCCAAATTATACCTTGCCAAGAATATACTTGTACGTATTGATATAAGTTATGATTAAGAATGATTCCGTAAAAGCATATTGTCGCCGTCAGTGTTGGGAAATTTCTACATCTCCAATTTAAAATAATTTTAGACAACGAAGATATTTTTATATGCTATTATTTATGCCTTTTGCCAATGAAAAGTGGTATTTGTTTTTAAATTATTTATTTTAAGTTTCAGTTTATTATTGTTATAGTATAAAAAGAATTCATTCTTTTAAGTTCCCCTCCCCCTGTTGTAATGTAGAATTATTTAATGAAAATTGTATATATTTATATATCTAAAGAAAGCAGAAAGTTTTAAGATGTCTGCTTTTATCTTTAGATTATTTTTTATATAAATTTATTTTTATACATTGTTATTAAATAATGTAGCTGTTATTATTGACATTATATTATATTACATGAACTGTGATCCTGCAACCGTTATTTTTTCAAAGTTACATCAGTGTTGGCTTTTGTACTTATTAAACCTGAAACGACTGGTTTATGATGTGACCGTAAAGTGGGAAATAATATAAAAACCTTATGATAAAAGACTTAAATGTTTATGTATATTGATGAAATGTAGCATTATATCAGCATTCCTATTAAATATTTTTAGAAATAGGTGTTGTGATCTTTAGCGATAAAATTTTGTACATATAGTCACCTGTTACAATATAAATATATTTGTCTATTACAGTATTTTATTAATATTAATTATGGATTATTGTGCTCTGCTTTGAAAACTGAAGTAAAAAGAACTTACAAGTGTAACTGATGACATAAAAAGTAACCAAATATTTATATTTTAAATTTATTTATTTTTAAGTTTCAATAAAATTTACTGTTGAAATTATTAAGTATTGTGGCTTTCTCTCCTGATTATTTTTATTTACTTGAACATGACACAACGAGAGATTGAATATGAGAATTATTCATCTTTGGAGGAAGAATCAAGTCTTGATTTGCATCTAGAATAACTGATTTATTTAACAACAAATTAAAAATCATTTTGTATTAATTATTGTTGAGTGATAAAGTTAAATTAAAATATAATCCAAAATATAATATTTTTCTTAAAATTTGAAATAGCTAGTTGAGAGTAGTATCATTCCATTCAAGGTAAAAAAAATGATCAAACATTATAAGGTAGCTGACAAATACACTGCCCTAAACAAAATATAAATCCATAAAGTAAATGATTATATTCTATTTACCCATTTGATGTTTAAGCCGTAGTTATTGTTTTAAAATGTTAAAACAAATTGATTACTACTGTTAACACAAATTATTAATCTTTTCATCAATGCTTTCCTCAGTTCTATCTTCTGTTTTCATATGATCTTAATTTATCAGTTGAATTTGTGAATGTGCCAAAATAGACATGTTATTTGCAGGTCATAGACATGGAAAAATAGCCTCTGAAAAATGTCATTATTGAAGGTGTATCCAAATATCATTCAGAACATAAATGAAAATTTATTGTTTAAAACATTAAAAAAAACAGTAAATAAAACCTGACATTTTGAGCAAAACAAATACTGCTCAAAAATAGTGACGGCCTTAAACGTTCGGTGGCCCCAGATAATGATGTAATTTCTCCCTCCCCTCCCCCCAAAATATATAATTTATTTCTTAATTCATTATGTCTCCAATTTATTCAAAAGGCTACAATTATTTATTTTCATACATTATGTAATTTTTTTAAAATTCATAACAGGTTGCAGGCACCTTGATGCAGTTGCCAGGCCCGAACGTCTGCACTGTTAAAAAATAAGCTTTACTTAAGACATTAAAATAAATATTCAAAAAGTGATTTTTTACGATTTTTCTGTTCTCTATCCAAACAGTGTGTTGTCTGATTTTGGTAACTCTAGTGCATCATCATATTTAACCTGTGGCGAGGGATTTTAGTGTTCCCTCTGAGATATAGTATATATTAACCCTTTTGCTGCTACGAACTGATGTATCAGTCCGGTGGTTGCAGTGCCCAGTGTGCTACTAGCTGATATATCAGTTAGGCTTGTTTTGCACTTCGCTGCTTCTCGTTATTATTTCAGTTCTTCCACTACCTCTATCTGTAGGCTGTTTATAGAAGCTGCAGTGTTCTTCAAAGCCGATAGAGGGCATGGGACTTCACTTTTGTCATTTTAATTTCTAACTACTCAGGCTTAGTGTATGTCTGCTCCTCCTTTTTTTTATTGTGGAGGGCCTTTATTCTCTTTACCTGAAATTTTATCCTCTAGTATATTTTTTGCTTTTCAAGGGAAAAGTTGTGTTCGTGATTATGGCGAGAAAAATTTATTCTGAACAAGAATTGTTGGAACTTTTAATGGGTGTGAGCAAAACTGAAGCAGAGTTTTCTTCGGATGATGATGAGGATTCTGAAAATATTTCCTTTGGAGAAACACAGGAAACCAGTGGAATGTCTAGTGCTAAAATGATAAACGATAGAAACCGAAAAAGTATTCAGCACACGGGACACTTCAGGCGCTCAGCTATCCTGCACCACTCTATCCTCTAACCACACAAGTATTACGCAGCCAAAGGGTTAATAAAAAGGGATAGCGCTAATTTTTTGAAAAGTTTATTATTCTTTAAAATCACAGTTCTAGATGGGCTTTACCAACTGGCAAACTTTTTGCCTTCAATTCGAACTAAATCTTAAATGTAAAGAGGTTTAAAAATTAGTGACATTTGTGATTATGAACCAAGATTAAGCATCATGTCTTTTGTATATAGCCATAGATTTAAAACCACCAAAAAATAGTTTACAATGCATAGCTAAATATTGTAGTTACGCTGGTTTGTGACAGCATTAGGTAGTGAACATTTAACATTTCAGTTTTTTTTTCTTCGGTTATTTAGTTAAAATTTTTAGTAAACAATAAATGGCAGATAATGTTTCTATAATGATAGATAATAAGAAACAAATTACATAACTGCTTTTATTCATGATCTGACCTTCTCATTAACATTTGATTTAAATTGACCGAAATAAAATAAAACAACATATATTATATAATATGAATAAATATTACAATTACAAAATATGAAGTTAGCAATTCATGAATGACACTTTATCTAAAAAACTAGATCTAATTTTTTCAGTTATATCAGAGATTGATAAGATTTTTTTTATTTATCTAAGACGCTTAATGTATAGTCTAAAGTATTACAAATATTTGCTAATCACGATGTATTTTAAATGATTTCATCCTTTTACAATTTTATCTAATGAATTTGTAATGATTCATTTAATTAATGCATCAGTGGTGATTAGAATATTACAATTAATCTTATTGCATAAATTTAATTAATTTCTGTTCCACATATCAAGGTATTTTCTTATAATGAACCATAAGGCTTGAAGGTCAATGCCTTAATAGTCAGAGAGCCTCTGCAAAAAATGAAATTATCCAATGACAATTTTAAAAGCTTTTTTTTTTAATCTTCATAACATATACATTTGAAAATTGAGAGTCTGCCAGTAGGCGACATCCCGCAGAACGTGGATTTTTACCAAACTGACAATAAGAGAAATTACTACTTGGAAATGAGTTTCCTAAGAGGAAAAACTTACAGAATGTCGTTGAACATCAAATTGTGGGTCTATTGAGTATCAACAGTTTGACAACATTAAAACTGTTGGTACTTAGTGGACGAGGAATTTGATGCTCAACAACTGTTATTCTATGAGTTTTTTAATTTCACTTGCCTATATGTTCAATATATAGTAAGAGAAAGTATTGCGCTCATGAAAATTTCAGAAACTGACTATTCAATGGAAATACACATTTTGGGATCCCTTAAGTCCAAAAAAACCAAGTCTCGCAAAATGGTCTGTGTGTGTATGTATGTGTTAACAGTCTAGCTCAGAAAGGAAAAGTTGTACGCAACTAAAATTGTCTATTTAAGGTTTGTACATGTCTGGGATGTTACAACAACTTTTTCGTCGAAATCGGCTAAACAGAAGTTCCACTTCATATTATTGAGTTTACATAGTTTTACAATTTTATTGTAAATGGCTTGCAGCTTGGAAATAAGTTTCCTAAAAGAAAATTGTGGTGAGGTGCGCGCATCACATGACTTTCACTTGCCACTCCTTTTTTAATAGAAATAAGTATTTTCAGACAAAGGAAAGTGAAACTAAAAAGTATAGAAGGTACGAAATATTATTTAAAACAATTAATTACCATGTGTTAACTAACTCATTTCCAAGCTGCAGGGCCACCAATAGTATTGGGTTGTCCGGAAAATAATGCAGGATTTTGGTTTAAAAAGAAAAAAGAAAGATTTACAACTTTTTTTATTATATCAAAATAGTATACACTATTATCAATACATTTCTGCCAATGCATTGGCAACTTTTTCATTTCCCGGAATAGAATTTTCCATCTTTAGAATTGAAAAACGCATTTTCTAATTGCCTTTGTCCATAAATTTTTTGTCATGTAAGTAGTGGTCCAGGTGTCTAAAAAAATGATAATCCTTAGGCGAAAGGTCTGGAGAGTAGGGCGGATATGGCAGAGTATGAAACTTGATATGAAATCCAAGCTCCAAAAGTTTTTGTGACGTCAGGCGTGCGACATGTGGCATGTCATGCAACGAAATGGGCCCCTTCCGATTGATCAAAGATGGCTTCATTATTGCCAATTTCTGATACATTGCGTTAATTTTGTTACAATACGATTCGGCAATGATGGTTTCTCCAGGATTTAAGTGGCTGTAGTGTATCAAACCAAATAAAGGCCATCAAACAATAACCATTACCTTTTTTTGATGAGTTGTGGGCTTTGGAAAATGTTTACTGCTTCTCCTTTGTCGAGATACCGTCCAGATCGTCTACTGCTATCTACACGGCAACAGGGCACTCATTAATGCTATTCTCGCCTCAGATTTGATTGATGGGGCCATCTAGTCTCCATTCCGGCCAAGAAAAAATGGAGGCTGATTTAATAAATATTTTTTTTTTGCATGGGCTCTCTGACTAGATTTTTTTTTTTTTTTTTAAACATTTATTATGATATTTACAACTGTATTAGTATGAATACATCAAGTAAATGTGTACATAGCAATATTATTACATGAAACACGCTTGTTGAGAAACTATCCATTGATAGCACTCTAATAATTTGTCTATATGAGGTGATCACGAGGCCATCTTCTTTTCAGACGCCTCGGAGGGTTATCAGGAATCAAAGAAGAAGCAAGGTTAGAAACAAGAGGATTCGGATGGGTATGAAGTTTATTATGGAAGGATAGGTATCTGGATTTGGCCAAATCGGAAACATATGGAACATTGAGTTCTGACTAGATTGAATTCGGAGTGAATCCATCTCCCAAAATCGAATTTTTTTTTTAATAAGTCCATATTATGTGAGTGGTCAGTTTACACAATCATAATATATTCTCGTTTTAAAAAATACAAGAAATTTATCTTTAAAAGCTTTTGGAATGAAATTGCCTTTTTGTTATCTACTACAATAATTAATTAAAAATCATCAGTTCTTATAGGTATTTTTTCCCTTTTGCTCTCATAGTAATAACTGTTATCTAAAAAAAGAAAAAGAAAAAAAAAAGCACCACCTAAAATTAAATTTTGGATCCGCTACTGGCAGCGAAATGAGATTGAGGCCGTTTTTAACAGAAACTATAAAGTTACGGCAGTAAAGTATTTGCACCAATGAGGAGAACCCTAATTAGAAAATAACAAGACACATACCTATAAATTTATCTATAAAAAAAAAACTGCTTTCAAAACAAACTTCAGTCGTTGCTAAATTGATATTTAGCTCTTTTGGCTAAGGAGTTTCCTGAACACTCATGTAGATAATAAAGCATGATAGGAAGAAATTAA